ACAGCCCCGAAACCGTAAATACAGCGATTGGTTCAAAATAACTGTAAGGAAGGTAAACTAACGGTAATCGGCGTTCCTGAAAAGCGATTATTTATGCAAATAAGCCATGTCGCTCTACGGTAGCTCGAATATACACTCACAAATTACGTTAACCTACAATATCAGATTTATCAAACCTGTGTAGTAATTTCCATTTCAAATGAATTGGAAATTACTACATTGGTTTAATAAATGTGATATCGAAAGGTGACTCATTAGATATCCTCCATGTACACCTAGACTGTTGGTGAGTTCAGTGAAATAGTAGTCCCCGGGCAGTATCTAACAGCATACAAATGCGAGTTGATTAAAATAAACTGTTTAATATATAATGTTGTCTGGGTTTGTGATGCTACAATTGACAATTTCTTTAATCATTTGTAAAAAATGCACGTCTGTTTATCAAATACATGTCTGACGATAATTATCGACTATTTAGTGTTATTGGTTTTTACTTCCAAGTTGTGATTTCAAATCCATTCAATACGTTCCTGATATCAGAATTTATGGTAGCGACATTTTAAATTAGTAACGTGTGCAGATGACAGTAATTAGCTTTCTTCAACTTGAATTTCTTTCGTGACAACTTTATCTTCTATAACAAAAGAAAGTTGTTTTCAAAGTATAAGAGATTTAGAATAACGCTAAATGTGGACTGATAACGAGCCTGTTTACTACAATTTATGCGATAATTACAACCGTGACGGAATTAGCGGAATAAACTCACGATCATAACAATGGGTCACGAGACCAAGAGCTGTGTTAGTATTTACGACGGCTATTATTTTGTCCAGAAACGACACTCAAAATTGTAGTGTATTTCCGTTGGCCATACTTTATTCTTTTTCTACCATGCATTATTTCCTGTGTAACCATTTGACGACACATGAATATAAGTGTACTATGTAGCTATATATGGCAAAACTACTGTTTTCCCGAGTCGACACATTTTTGAACGTCGTATGCGTTATTACTGAAAAAAAAAATCTTTGCCTATTTCTCGCCCGTTCACTTGCTTTCTTTTTATCAACTTCAATTATTCGAAATAAATTACATGCATATAAAATGCTGTATGCGGTGGTTTTTATACCCCATGTGCCTCCGATGCTTTTATATACACATCACACCACCTGGTTATCGCTACAGTTGACCAATCACATGGGCGGGATACCCAAACGCATTTACTTACACAACGAATAAATTATATGCTAATCTACGTATACAATTTTTCATTCCAGTGTGGCACAACCAAGCTGCAAACAAGATGGCCACCAACGAGGTTTCATGTAATTGCGTACACCCCGGTATTTCTATCAGCGTCTCTTCTTTTGTTTATAGAATCGACTACTGGTATTCAAAGACTTAGTACGTATATGTACACGAGCGCCCATAATGCCTTGTAAGCGATTGGGCATTAAAACTTATGGGGGTTATAACTGCTGTGCATTGTATTTTTCCGTTGCTTAGTTTTGAACTTTGTTACCACGATTATATTTTTTTTTCACCGACTATAACTTTTCCTGTAGATTTATGCGTCTTCTTATCAATCACGGTGTTAAACTTGTCGTAAACCTCCAATTTCGCGACAACTTTAACTCTAATCATCTGCTGATATGTCTACAAAACCTATACTCCTCTCGTGCTGATTCGAACGTCTTGTCGCCATAGTAACGAATGATCGGATGGTAGTCGCAACCTAGGTAGTAGGAGATGATGGGTTTCGGTGACTTTTACTCTTCACGGGACTACATCCGATTAGGAGTGATTTGACTCTTTAATGGACTCTGCTGTGTGCTGTGTGCAGCGTGATCCGCACCACGTGGAAGGTCAGGCAGATTTCTGTGAATATTCCTGTATTACCATTACAAATTACATTATAATTGTACAACTCAACACATACAAGCTTACGTGATGCCCTCGGCGAATATGGTTTTACAGCGCTTGGGAAATTGGAAAAATATCCACAATATAGAAATCTTTATTAATTCGGTATCTTAATTGATTTCAAGCCGGTAATATAGAATCAGCAAGCCCCCCCCCCCCCGAATAGCGAAACATACAATGAAACGGAAGCGACTTGCGTAGGACAGAGGAAGTTTGCCTGCGGGTGTCCATCAGTAAGGCTATCCGATCACGTCGTGCTCAGTGGGGCATACACAATCAGTATACAGCAGTAATCTTGTACCTGGACAAAATTTACAGTATTCACTATCAAGGTAACCGAAGGTCGTGTGTCACGTGGGTCTGTTTTCACTCACTACATCCTATATAATTAACACACACGAAACGATGATTGATTATAATGTTAATACGAGACGAATCAAAAGTATAATATAATAAAACTTGACGTTGATCAGTACAAGGTCCATCAAGTATTATAGTGAAATGAATTCAACTAGGATGATCACTCGCCCGAGGTCACTCGCCGAACATCAATATTCTACTCCAAAGGCCATTCCTGTATCCCTTTATTTAAATACCGTTCCTCGCAATATATTCCTAAATAAATATATTCTGAATATTTGAACATAGAACAAATTCATTTGTATTTAGGTCACTGAACGCTTTACCAAGCGGGTGCTGGTCTGTTTATAATAGGTCGGTTGTTATCGGTGATCGATATTTAGAAAATAAAACGTGGGTCCCTTCCCAATCAGCAATTCTCTCTAGAGGAATGATGGGATCTTGATAGGGTCAAAGGAGACCATTCACAGTATTGTTATCGTCGTTTGTCATTGGGGGGAAAAAGAATGGTACCGCGATGAGTAAATCGCAAGAAAAATAAATGTAATATCAAAAAATAAGCACGTTAATTGTATGTTGGTATCATGATTTAACTAGACTATTCTACTCACAAACTGTGTTCGCCATTTTGAGTTATAGCAAATTACAGATCAGAGTTTTGATTTGAATGAAGCTAATTTAGAAATATCTATAAAAAAACAACTTTAAAACATTAAAATATGTTCTTTGATCAAATGAATATTATATTGGACACCTATGCCGGTTAGCGTAAACGCGTATTGGGTATATATTGTTGCAGCCAAGAAGACTCCAAGGAAAACAAGTTTCACTCAGCCTGTATGT